TAATAAAAGTGTATAAACATCAGGGAAGGTGAGAAGCGTGCGCGAATTTGCAAGCTGGGGAGACGCGAGGAGGTTTAGCGGCTCGGTTGCGTTTGCAGGCGTCAAATAGGGGCGGGGGGGGTTTGGTCTATGTGGTTTAAGCGCCCACCCGACGCCCACGAAATTGCGCCGCGGAAGAAGAGAACCTGTCTCCCCGCTTCGCAGCCTCCCTCGAGGGAGAAGGGCGGGAGGTTAATAAGGGGGCGATAACTGAGCCCCCACCCCCAGGGTGCTGATCGAAGCCAGGGCTGCTCAAAGGCGCCAATATTGTCCGTCGTTCTTGCAAAGGAGGGTGCCACTCTGATCACCAGCGTGGGTCCGGCAGTGTGTGTGTGTGGAGGGGAAGACTCGCGTGTCTATGTATTCGAAGTGATGGGCTCCTTCTGAAAGGCTCTTCCCGTATTCCTAACTATCCCCCGAAGTTGGGGAGATAAGGGAGAGAGAGGCGTTGCCCTTACGTTTCGACCTGATAGGCCCACCTATACACATAGCGTGTAGATACTGTACCTTCCTGGGATTATCCGGCCCTCTTTTACTCTCCCGGCCTTCTCTCTCCCCTTATGATGTTTCTCCTAATTGAAAATCGTTAAATTTAGGGGGTGGGTAAGGCAGGACCGGGAGGGGAAGGAAACCGGCGAGCTAGTTTTGCATAAGTGTAATTTATCGCAAAGGTGAAAACAATTAACTGGCCTTTTCTCAGAGCGACTGGGAGACTCAAGGGACCTTTCATCACCGCGACCAACCACCACCCTTCCTACGAGGCTGCAGTGCATTTTTGTTTTTGTTGTTTTCTTGTTGAAATGACACCTGCCAGACCAGCTCCCATTTTTTTTCCCTTTAAAAGAAAGAGCCGATTTCTTTCAGGGCTCAGAGCTTAAATCGACATTAAATATGAAAAGAAACCAAGACCGTCTAAGCGACTCTTCTCGCCCTATGGGGCTCGAATATGCATTTTTAATGGCTTCAGGAAAAGCCCGGGGGGGGGGGGCAGGCGGGAAGAGCGGAGGAGGAAGAGGAAGAGAAAGCAAAGGCTTCCTTCTTCTTCTTCAACGAGGGGCTCCAACCCGTCAGTGCCGCCACCTTGCCCCACCCCGGCCACCGGGCGAAGCGACGTGGGAAATTGACTAACCCAAAAGTTGTGGGGTTGCCCCCAAAGGTTGGAGATCAACCACTTACCCTTCTTTCGGCTGCCATGGTCCAGCTTGGTGAGCACCCCAAATTTATTTCCTTTCCCCCGCCCCGCCCCCCAATTATTCTCTCTTCGGCCCAGCTCGCCAGAATCCCCGCGAACTATTTTAATAATTGATAGAAAGTGGGGGGGGGGCTTTTGTTCCTCCTTCCCCTCACAGCTTCTCCTGCCCTGTTTCGCTGGTCTTCGCAGAGACTGTATTCGGACGGCGTTATTTAATTTACTCCTTGTATCAGTTCTGCAAATTTCGGCTACGTGGGGTGGGGGAAATAAAACGGGGTGGAAAAATGGAGCAGATGTGCAAGAAAAGGAACCCACCATCTGGTCCCAAGATCTGAAACCATCAGATGGCAGAGCGCTTTGCACACGAGGTAGAAAATCTCCTCCGTTCAAAGTACTCTCTTAAAGGGTGATTTCAGCAGTCCGACGTTTCCGGGCCATGAGGGGTAAGGGATCTAAATCGTGTATTGACGTAGATAGTAAAGGGGGCGCCAAGGAAGATTTTGCCCTCAATCCTGAACTGGACAGAACGGGTCCCCCCCCACCCCACCCCCTTTGAACGGAACCAGGCTGCTTCGCAACAAGTGAGCCGTGGCTATCGCGCCGAATCTACAAACCGGATGGAGCGTTGGACGTCTTGGCCCTCATCAATCGACTCATTAAGGGTTGCAATGTCAAACAGCACGAGTTGAATTTCAGGGTTAAAAAAGTAAACCGTCTTGGAGCCCGGGTATTTGGCCCTGCAGACAAAAGTGGTGATTAACAGAGAATATTTTTTGCTCAGGGTTTAAAACGATGTGGGTCTTTGGTGGCTTTCCGACTTCGGTGGTTTTCTTGCAGGCGTCTTTCATGACCCAAATTAGGTAACACCATCAGTGCTAGTGGGAATTCCATGTATTATTTCAGCCTTCCCACTTTCCGTCTAGGAAAGTTGGAGGCGGGAGGTGACAGCCGGCAGAGACGCCGAAAGTGGAGCCGTTCCGCGGCGCTTACTCCAGGGTACCACCACACCTCGCAGCCCCCCGCCCCCCCAAAGTTGCCTTGAAGTATGATCCACTCCTCTCCTCCTCACACCCGCCTTTTCTTCGGCCTATTCTAGAATAAGGCCGTTTGAAGGTCAACTGGTTCCGGAAAAAAAAAAAAAAAGCAAAGCCAGAGGATTTCTTCTCAGGTATGGCTCCGGTAATCCCATCCGAAGACTCTGCTTCCAAACAGGAGCGCTTGAGGAATCCCCCCCCCAAAAAAGGAATAGAGGACTGTGTTTTTTCCCCACCACATTTGACTTACTTTTGTAGCATTTTGAGCAATCAGATAAAAATTTGGTCTCCCTCCTTGTAGCTAAGCATCACAAGGGGAAGACTCAAGAGAGGGAGAAACTGCCCATATAAACGAGGGGAAAGGATTTGCTTCCTGGTCCTGGCGCATTGGTTTATTAGGCTGGCTGATAACACCGCATAAAAGTCTGGTCGATATGCATTTCAGACGTTTCTCACGTTAATTATCATCGCTAAGAACGAATGAGAAAGCGGAAGGGGGGGGGGAGATAGATAGAGAGAGAGAGACGGAGGCTCATCTGTGGACGCGCGGGTGTTTCCAAACTGCCTTGTTAGGAAATGGGTGACAGGCTTACACACACACACACACACACACACACACACGAACAAAGGACGCCTATCTAGCCACGTCTCTTCTCCTAACGCACCAGCTCACAACACAGCCAAACTCGATGTTTGCATCTCCCCATCATCACCCGCGTGAGTTTCCCACAAGCGAGCGACTGGGCTCGTAATTAAACGAGCAGGAATGCTAATTAATAATAAATCACTGGCAGACGTGCCAGATAAAACTCCCCTCCCTCCCTCCCTCCCTCCGGGGCAGGCTTTGCAAGTGCCTGGAAAGACAAGCAAGGCAGCCGGGGGATGCAAGCGCCGCTAAATATATACAAGAGATAATTAGGGGGAGGGAGAGGGAGGATGAGGACGGAAGGCGAAAGAAAAAAAAAAAGATTTAGGAGCTCAGCTCCTTTCAGCGAAAGGCATTGCTGGAAGCCACTCGCTGGCTTTCTCTCCCCTCCCCACCCCCCACTAATCAATACCAGCCAACGATTAATTGCTACAGGCCAGAATCCATCAAACACAGGTGAATGAAGCAATTGTCAGAAATAGGCGGGATTTCCATCCCCCCCCCCTCCGCCCGTATTTTCTTAAATACATTTGTAAACATTCCTGGATGGCCTCGCTATGCAGGAAATCGAGCAGCTTATAAACAAAAGATCGCCTCGGATTAGAAGGCAACGCGGTGCGTTTGACAGCAAATAGCAAAGACAAGGCGCTGGAAGAATGATAAGTTATATCGGCGCGCATGCCCTCCTCCGTTGATTACATTTATTGTTTTTATTTTTAATTTTTTCCCCGCCACAACAAGCGATCGAACGCATCTTTTGCAAGGCTCCTTATTTGAGAAATCAAGCGTTTTGGTGAAACGTCTCAAAAGCTGTAGACCTTTAAACGCTACGCAGCCACAAGCGAGGAAAACTGCCGGTCGCCGAGTTCCCCCCGTAAGCCTCGCCAAGTTAAGTCTTTCTCCAAACGGATCCTTTTTCTCTGTCCGGAACGTGTATTTTTCGCGACACGCGTAACAGTGTCAAATGATCGAAGCCTCTGGTCGAGTGTTAGAACAATAGAGGGGCGACTTCCCGCCGCGGCCGCTAGAGGGTGCTGGCAAACAACTCGGCACACATCAAAAGAACAATATCGGCGTCCCCACAACACAAGTGATTGTTCTCGCACTCTTCGCTTCGAATCTATCCAATCTGTTCTGCAGAAAATAGCGCTCGTTTCTTCTTCCTTCCTCCCCCCCCCCCCCCCCCCCTCCCCCCCCCCCCAAAGCCCTTCCTCTGAAGCATTTATTTGGTGGCTTAAACGCTCAACGCCTCATTTTTCACAACCCAATCGTGAATTTTAATTGATTTCACCAACCCCTTTCTCCTCGGTGACTTTGAAACGATACACACAAATAACTGAAACAAAGAGGAAAGGGAGTCCTCGGAGGAAATATAAATTCCCCTGCCTATCTGCCATAAACACGGGAGCCCCCCCGTTAATCTCGCAAACGCGGGTCTTTAATGTTTTAGCCAAGGGGGGAAGCCGCACTTCGGCGTTATACCGTGTCTAACGGTACACACATTGCTGAACGGAGCGCAAAGGCTAGGAAGGCACACCGCGGTGGAAAAACACGCTCCTTTTCAAAGCACAAGCAGACGTACCTTCGCCCTACAAGGAAAGGAATCAAACCCCTCCTTCTTCAAGAAGTTTACAGAGAGAGTATTGGGACAATGCACACATACACACACGCGTACGCCTTTTTGACCCAACGCAACCCTCGCTCCTCCAGAAGAGGTTATAGCCTTCTGACCACGGCTGCTCGAAGGCTGAACCCCCTCCTCCCCAGGGATCTGGAGGAAGAGAAGGGGTCGCCCTCCAGAGCAGCAGAAGCACCAGGCTCTTAAACCCAGGTCGGAGGCAGCTTAAAAGGGAAAGGCGTGTGAAGCGGCGGAGCGACCAAGGCGTTGTCTTGTTAGCATCCCCAGCGGAAACCGCGAGACAAGGGTCATGGGATACACAGCTGGCATGGGCGCTCTTAGAAGAACTCAAGTCGCCCCTCCGCACGTATAGCCAGTTCGCAGGCACGTGAACACAAGTCTTCCCTCCCCTCCAGAGCCACCTCTGGACATTTGGGGGCTCTTCGGGGCCCCCCCAGGCGAGCCACTTACCCGCAAGTCTTAAGGCTGACATCCTCTGGAACTCGGGTTCCTGCAGCCATTTCCACATTCTTCGGAAGGTCTCCCTGCCCGATTTCAGTTTACTCCAAGGCTTAGGGTTCCTTAGAAGGTCTGAAAGGGTCCCCTGAGAACGGCACAGCACCCGCTGGGCGAAGATGGCCTGGGGGATGCTGTAGCGCTTCAGCTCGGCGGTGATTCTCTGCGCCACTTCTTTGGTGTTGATCTCCTCCAGCTGGCCCGAGTTGCTCACCTGGCCGCCCGAGGAGGAAGGCGGCCTCTCCCGGCTGGAGGCCAAGACGGGCCCGTGGGGCTGCGGGTGGCCGCCGGGGTGATGCATCCCGTTCAGGTGAGCCATCATCGGGGCCGGAGGGGTGGCAAGGCCCCGCGAGAGGTGTTGGTCGCTTCGGGTCAGCATGGCCGGGTGGGCCTCGAAGTTGGGGCTCAGCATCTTCTCGGGGACGGTCGGCCCGTAGTTGTGGAGGCCCTGCTGGGGGTTGTGGAGGGAGCCCAGGCCGTTGCCCAGCGGCGAGAGGCTCTGGCCCATCCCGGTCATCTCTTTGTAGGGCCCGTAGAGGTTGTTCATGGCCGGGAGCCCCCGCTCGTCGCGCATCAGGGTGAAGCTGCCGCTGACGTTGCCGGTGAGGCGCTGGTGCTGGTGGGGATGATGGGCGTGCGGGTGGTGGGCGTGCGGGTGATGGTGATGGTGGTGGGCGTGCGGGTGGTGGAACTTGTCCGAGACGGTGGAGATGGGCGGCAAGGGCTGGAGAGGCGTCAGCGTGGTGTAAGTGCTGGCCATGCCCAGGCCGGGCGGCGAGGAGTCGCAGGGCATGCTCATGGCGTGGTGCAGCGGGATGGAGAGCTCCGGCCGGTAGTCCCCTGCCCCGTCCAGCAAGGAAGCCATGCTGCTCACCATGGCCGAACGCGAGGAGGCGGAGGCCAGCTCCTGATGGGAAGGCGGCGGGCCTGGTGGAGCAGGCGGCGGGTGGACCCGGAGCGGGCCGGCGCTCCTGCCAGGCGGATGGTGGTGAGGGCTTGGGCTGCCCATCAACTCCTGCTCAGGGCCGGCCGGCCCGTGTAAGGGCCCCAGGCTCTCCATTGTCAGCTCTGGGTTCATGGCGCAGCTCTCCAGCTCTTTGGTGAGGCATCGATAGGGGGTGCAGACAGCCTTCATTCAGTCCATGGGGCGAGCCGGCGGTGGTGGTGGTGGTGCGGCGGCGGCGGCGGCGGCCGGGGCTCCAGGGGTGTGCTGGGCGGGGGCGGGGAGAGAGAGAGAGAGAGAGAGAGAGAGAGAGAACGAGCGCTCCGGGCGCCCGGTGGCGGCGGCTGCTGCTGCTGCTTGCTGCGGCGGCGGCGGCGGCGGCGGCTCCTTTCCAGCCCTCAGATCGAGGCTCTTGCCGCCTCTTGGCTGACGGCTGAGGCGCGGAGGGAAGGGGGGGGGTCGCTCTAAGGCCTCTCAGTTGTACCCGCGGGGGGGAGGGGGAAAGGAAGCCCCCGGCCTTGCCGCGCCTCAGCCTGCCCAGCGCCGCGGCTGCCTCCTCGCCATGTCCGAGCCCTAGCCTGCCCTTCCGTCTTCTGCTGGGCTAGCGGGGAGCTGTCCAGAGTTGCGCTCGCGCCTCAGCCGCCCACCCACCCCATCTAGCCCGGCCCCTCACGCGCGCGAGGGAGAGAGGGAGGGCGGGCGCTCCTCTCCGATTGACCAGCTTCCTGCCCAATCTGCGAAAAGCCTCCGAGCAAACCGGCCGAGGAGTGAGAGGAGAGGGAGGGGGAGGCCCAGCTGCCAAAGCCCAGCCAATGGCGAGCCGCCGAGGGGGCGGAGCCTGGCCGCGGGAGGCTTCAAGCTTTGCCTGAAGATTCTCAGTCAGGCGCCGGGGTCTCCAAACGCCGCGGAGAAGCAGTGTGAGAGGGTTGCAAGAGGCTGCGGCCTCCGCGCTCTGAACCGGTGGGCAAAAAAAGTCCCGAGGTCGCCCCGCGTGCCTCGCACAAAGGGTGCGAGTTCGAGGAGAGGACAAGGGGACCTCGTGGAAGGGCGGCCGGGGACACGCCCCGAAGCTAAATAATCACAATAATAAAGAATAGTAACCGTAGTAGTAGTAATTATCGCTTCGCCGGCTCTCCACAGACTCGCCTCGCGTGAGGGGAAGCGGGCGGGAAGAGTCTGTCCTTCCTGCTGCATCTTGGCCTCTGAGGCAAACTGTTTGGTCTTTCCCGCCCTCCGAAGGGCGAGCCTTGTCAATCCTGAGGGCGACGTCCCGAGCGGCCTTTGCGCAGAAGCCTTTCCCCCCCGCTGCTCAAGCCCCGTCTGGAACGCCGCCTCGCCTTCCCACCGAGCGTCAACCACGGTCGCTTGGGCGGTCGGGCGCGCTCGCTCTCCTCTCAGGGCAGAGGTTGCCGTGGGGAGGAAGGTGGGGGGAGGAGGAGTCGGGCAGCCCGGGATCCGCGGAGCCCTGCCAGGACATCTCCCTCGGTTTGCGGCGGCTGAGAAGGGACGGCGGCGCCGAACTTCGCCGAAGTTGGCAGCTCCGCCGGAGCGCCCTACCTGCCTTTCAGGGGCACTCGAGGTTGGCTGGTTGGCCGGCCCTCCAAACCAGCCCGGCGGCAAAAAAAAAAAAAAAAAAAAAAAAAACCGCGCCGATAAAGCTGCGTGAATGCAGGTGCGCGATCTCTTTCCCGGAGAGGCGCAAACCAAGAGGCGATCCTTGAGTTTTTGGGTCCCAGCGCACAGCGCATCGCCTCCCCGCCTTCCCCCCCCCCCCCCCGCCGCCGTTTCCAATGAAATCACCATAGAAACTCCCTTCCAGGAAATCTGCCCCACGGATATTACATTTAATCATGAAGTTCCCGAGTTATTTGAAAAGGGAGAGGGGTCTCCGCCCCGGGGACATTCCTAACCAACGCTTGCTTTGCTACCCGACGGGTAGCATCCCGTCCTAAAACGAGTCGTGCTCGTCGGAACGGCTGCTAAACTTCTGATCCGGCCCACCATTAGCCTCCCCTTGGACGTTTTATTGATTCTGCTTTGGGTGGTGGGCAATACGGGAGAGCTGGAAAGCGCCCCCTTCCCCCATTCTGACCCCCTCCCCCTCTTTCCTCTAAGGAACAGGAAAGGAGTCTTAGCCCAGCATAGAAGCACCTTGACTCGGTAATAAACTTGGGCTGGGCTCAACCAGGTTAAGTTACACCCGCCGGATGGGAAAAGCTGGAATATCTCAAAAAGGCTTAGCTTGGTTCGCTTGGTTTCCTCTCCTTAAGGTCTTTCGATTTCGCAGAGAGAAGGTGGGGTCTCAAAGGTTGGCCCGGCATAGATAGATAGATAGATAGATAGATAGATAGATAGATAGATAGATAGATAGATAGATAGATAGATAGATAGAGTCAGAAGGGCAAAAAAAATGCCAATAATAATAATAATAATAATAATAATAATAATAATAATAATAATAATAATAATAATAAAGACCAATCTGTGTTGTTTGAAACGATCGTGGTGGTTGTTTTAAGTAAATCTTAAGGGCCGGAGAAACTGGATTCGGAAGATTTGTAGTGTAGGAAATGCAATAAGAGGACTGCATTCCCTTTTCGACTGGATCTCATTGGCTGGGAATTACAAATGGCTTCAAATCTTTCCAGTCCAGTCTGGGCCCAGGAAAGGCGCCTGGGCCTCGAGTCGTTCAGAGAGAGAGAGAGAGAGAGAGACCCATCCGGCACAATAAAGAAAAAGGTGGGGACGATGGTGGAAGAGGCAATGGCAAAATCCGGTAGAAACGGAGGGCTGTAGAATAACCTCAGGGGAAGGAGTTCCCAACAGTGATATATTTCCCCTCTTCTAAAGTTGCTGTTTATGCAATATTAACAAATAATATTTGAGGAAGGGGTGGGGGAATCCAAGACTCTAAATACCCCCCCCCCCAGGGTTATCTGCCGATCCAGTAGCACCGTCCTAAGTCCCTTTACTTAAAAGTAACCTCATTGGCTTTAGTAAGGCTCAGCTTCATTGAGTTTTCAGAAGGAAAACTTCCTATTTTTAGTCTGCAATTCATCCTTCTCAATTTAGTAAACGTCCCTGCAGCTTCACTACCCAGTAGGCAGGCAACCTGGACTGATTTTACATGAAAGTAAAGCTCGCCATGGTTGGGCCGTTTTAGGACTTAACAGCTAGCTTTGGCCCAGCTCTGTCTCTTTTCATTGCTTTGGTGAATTTCTTGAGTAAGAGGAAGGGATCGCCCTTCAAAATCTGCTGGACCCCGCTTGGCTAACCGGCCGGCAGTCCAAAAGTTTCGGCTTCTTCGCGAGGGCGGGGGAAGGCGTGGGGTGCAAGAACAGGTTGCCCCCCGAAGAAGGCTTGAGCCCGGCTGAGGTTGCGCAGATGTTGCCTTTGTTTAAAGAGACAGCAATTAAGGAGAGGGGGGCGCATAAGTTTGAAAAGCGTGACCTATTTTCTTTTGATCAGCTGTCAACGGAAGAGCGGGGGGTCTTCTCAAAACAGCCCCTTTCCAACTACTTCCAGCTGTTAGAGAAAACCTGGCTTAGAAAACAATTTGGGGCGGGCTGCGGAGAAAGGAGTCCCACTTTGGGATTATAAGGGGGAGGGGGGGGGGGCTGCAAAATCAGCGTTGAAAAATACCGGCCAGCCCGAAGCGTTTTGTGTGTAGGGGACGCCCCGAGCCCGCTTCTTCTGAAACACAAAACTTGGAAGCCAAGTTTATTCTGAAGTAACCAAAATTGTGTAGATTTAATTGGGATTTGCTTCCAAAGTGAGCAAATGGGGAGTGATTACTCGAAGGTAAAGCTAAAGATCTCAGATCATGGAACCGATTGGTCAAAAAGAACCAAAAAACAAAACAAAACACCCCCAAATCTCTTTAGTTTAAAATAAAATCCATGCGGGGGATGGAATGTTCTTCCGATTAAATTGGCCTAAAAATGCAATAAAATGGAAATCTTAGGATGTAGTTCTGAATGGGCTTATTCGGAAGTGATTTCTGAGGCCAAATACATAAAACCAGGTTATAAGGATGGCAACTGTAAATTCGTAGTAGGCTTTCCTTGTCCAGCTAAATTATGGTGGAGATTTCCAAGCCTTTCTGGCTTTATGGGGCTGTGAAATCTCTCTCCCCCATGCATATATTGTATAGGTCGGTGTACACACAAAAACACATTCATATGTACGTACATACACACATACACACAACATACATACTAGGGAAAAAAAGAAAGAATATAAAAATACTAATCCCTTAATTTTCATTTTTGTAGATTGTTTCAACAAAAACCGTCACATTTGTTTCCCCTAATCGTTTAGGCTCATACCAATGCTTCTTCATTCATTTCTGTTGCATTATACTATTATACTATTCAGTGAAATAAAAAACGATTCTTATAAGTTAGTTTTTTTTTTTAAATAAGCAATGCTATTAATAATCTACTTGTTGGAATCTTGCAGGGAGGGCCTGCTGCCGTCCTTCTTTTTAAAAGCCGGCTAGGATGGATCAAGATCAGTTTGGGATATTAGGACGACCTGAATTTGGGATTTGGGAAGAAAGAATTCAGATCCGAATCCAGGGAGATCGCCGAGTTTTGCCTGACAGCCTGTTAGAATTTCCCTTGTTTCATATCGCTGATTGAAGGGATTTTGGGGGGGGGGGCAATCTAAGTTTTTGAGGACCTTTCTAAGCTTCTTTGGGGCAAAATTAAAATATAATCATCATCATCATCATCATCATCACCGTCTCTCTCCCTTGCCAGCTTTCACACTTTCGGCAGAATTGATTCAGGAAAAAAAAAAATTGGCCTTCCATTTTTTTTTTCACCCTTTGACGATCCAGTTGGAATCCGGTTTTCCACCAGAAGCCTGATATATTGCCTATTAAAAATTAACCTCCCCCCCTACTTTCCAAGACTTTCTGGAAAATCCTCGGATTCACCTTTCGTGCCCTGGAAGTCGACCAGCTCTAAGGGATGAAGTGACCACTTCTCCCAGGAAAGGGAGCCTCTGCCTTGCGTCGAAACCATCATGCCAGTTGAAAACAGGCCCAGCCGGGCTCGATAGGACTTATTTCCAGAGAAGAGCGCGCGTTCACACACGGGACGCTAGTAGTTGGGCCGGTCGGCTCTGAGGTCAAGCAGGCCGTTCCGCTGGCTTTCCCGCGCCTCGCTTTCAAGTCCCCTTGAAAGCGTTTGCGAACCCCTCCGTTGGGCGACGGCTTGGAGGAAATGCGCGCGCAAGGAGGGGGTGCCTTTGGCTTCTGACAC